GGAGGAAGCCGAGGGTTTTCCTCGCCGTGGGTCCGGTTCAACGGGAAGGATTTGACTAGAAAGGATGGATGGATGGATGGAGAGAGAGAGAGAGAGAGAGAGAGAGAGATAGAGAGAGAGAGTCAAACTGAAAATCCTTATTTTAGGATTTTATTTTTTAGGTGTATGTGCACAATGTCGAGAGAGAGAGAGGCAAACAGAAAATCCTTTTTTTTAGGTTTTTATTTTTAATTTTTATGTGCACAATGTCAACAGAGAGAGAGAGAGAGAATCATTTTTTTAGGTTTTTATTTTGTAGTTTTATGTTCACAGAGTCAAGAGAGAGAGAGAGAAAGCAAGAGAGAAAATCCTTATTTTACGTTTTTATTTTTTTATTTTATGTGCACATTGTCAAGAAAGAGAGAGAGAGAGAGACACACACAAACAGAAAATCTTTTTTTTTTAGGTTTTTATTTTTAATTTTTATGTGCACAATGTCAACAGAGAGAGAGAGTCACAAACAGAAAATCTTTTTTTTTTTAGGCTTTTAGTTTTTAGTTTAATGTGCACAATGTTGAGAGAGAGAGAGAGAGAGAGAGAGAGTCAAACAGAAAATCCTTTTTTTTAGGTTATTATTTTTTAGTTTTACGTGCACAATGTCAAGAGAGAGAGAGAGAAAGCTAGAGAGAAAATGCTTATTTTAGGTTTTTATTTTTTAGTTTTACGTGCACAATTTCAGGCCAAAACGGAGGGCATTAAAGCAAATGTCAGGTCCCTCTAGAGCCGAATATCAGCAGCTTCAGTCAAAGCACACATCATCATCTTCATCATCATCATCATCGAAATCGTTTCTATCAAAAAGTTAATATATATATTATTAAATAAATGTTACATCTTAACAAGTTGTGGTGAATAGATGTTTTCAAAAAAAAGTTTTCTGTTTTCGAAAATTTGAAAAGATTCGGGCCCTTTGTTCTGAGATGAGCGATGTGGTTTTTTTTGTACAAATAAATCTGTGTTTCATTGTGGCTCCGTACGGAAACGCTCTGTTTAAAGGGTGCTGCCAGTTTCTTAACTCTGTTTTTGTAAAAAGGTTTTATTCTGAATACGTGTAGTACACAGAGACACCGTGGGGAGGTTTTTCTTTTTCTTTTCTTTTGTCCGTTTCTCTTGATCTGTTTGCCGAATTTAAATGTTTGAATGAGCTGATTTGGACTGTGATGGAGGTCTAGAAAGGAGAGAAATTGGCCCTTTGGTGACTCTTCAGATGTTTCTCTGCTGTTTTTATGGGCAGGTGGGGTGATTTAGAAAAGGACTCTTAAGAAAAGGTTGAGTTCAGGTGCAGTTTTCAGCACTTGGCTCAGTTTGGAAGAACTCCACGCTTCCCTCTCCGTGTTCCTCCCAGTGTACTTTCTTCTTTCAATCGTCCAATTATGTCTGTTTATCTAATAAAATGTTCAAATGCGACAGCCGGATTTATTTCTTCCTCTTTGCAGCTGAAACCGTGAAGCTTTCCTCGTCAAAAACTTCTAAAAAATCAACTAAAAAAACAGTCATCTCATTGTGTTTTTGATAATAAACATCCGGGATATTTTATCTGTTGAAAACTGGGATTCCTGGCATGTTTTTGTGCACGACAAAGCTGAAATCTGACCCAAAAAAGCATTTTTTTTTCTTGCTAATTAGTCATGAAGACACACATTGTTTCCACATTTATCTACGAGTAGAATCAGGCATGAGGGTCAGATAAAAGAAGCCTTTTATTCCTCTAGTCTGTTCTCTTAAATGGATCTTAAGTGG